TGTGACAACTTGGACCGTTACATAGTAGGACCTGGTCCTATGTTGATGATGATGATGATGATGTTGAACAAGCTATACTGCATTTAACTCAGATCAGTCTATCATGTCTCCCCACAGCCAACCTCTGTTACTTCATAACACGATAAATCACTTCTCTCTTATGAAGCCTAAGGATGACACTGTTTAACTGCCTGTATCTGAAAATATGAAGCCAGGTCAAACTCATAGACCACTAAATGAAAGTCGTGTTTTGAACAAGGAGCCATAACTTCTCTTACAATCGAATAATGTTGTTAGTCTGATGTAGTCTGAACACTTATATGCAAGTCTAGCCAATGAATACTTCGATGTGTAAAGTTAGTCAACCTAATAGTAAGTTTAACTTAGACTCAAGTTGAAGTCATGACAAAATATGGCAACAAGGCATGGAGTTAGTATCCCTTCAAGCTATATGAAAGACAGCAGATTTCTTAGCAGCAGTTCTTAAAATGGTCAAGATTTTGGAAATAATTCAACATATTTATAATTTACTTCCAATCTCGAACCAATTGCTACTTATCGTTATCAGAAAATTAATGTCATTTCCTAGCATACCTACTCTGAAGGGAAGGTAGCAAGAAACAACAATGTTCTATCAGCTTTTTTGTTTCACTTAACCGTTCATAACAAAAACTCGAATAAACAAATTCCACTTGCATATCTCTTTAATTTCTACAACTTAAAACACTCTACTATGGCACCTTAGCAACACAACTAACTACAGTAGATTAATGGACCATTGAATTCCGATCCAGTGGCCCAATGGTAATGTTCTGTTTGCGAAACCTGAAGGTCCTGGGTTCGATCCCTGGTTGGGAGGGTCGTGGGTGCGCAATTCTGAGGAGTCCCATATTAGGACGAAGCAGCTGTCCAGTGCTCTCAGGTTTCTAGTGTTTCCCCAATTGATCTCAGTCTATGATGAATACCAACCTGAAATCAGTTGGTAAATCTGTAAAAACCTCAAAAATAAACTACAGTAGACTTAGTTGAAAATAAAGTTGAATAAAAACAAATCCATAAATAAAAATGGAGGATACAAGTAAATAGTTAATAAAGATTTGACAATTAGTTTAAGTTATATTTGATAATGCTCAATAAAATAATAGTTTATTAAAATCATATGAAGAAAGGATTATTGAAATTGGAAAAAGAAACCAAATTTCACTAAGTTACCAGGAGTTACTGACTTGGTGCTTCACCAGCTGACCTATCAGACCCGACTACCAGTTTATGTACATCTTAAAAATATATAAACTCTGCGTATAATTGTGATAAAAAGGTAGAAATCTATCAAAATGTCGGATGGTAACATCGAAACAAATTACTATTTGTACGGATTCAACTTAACAAGTCTAAGAATAAAATATGTCATTTCTTTAGTTTACCAAATCCCTTGCAACAACTGAGAGGTGAAATACATAGGTTAAAATATTGCAAGTTGTTTATCATCGTAGACTGACATCAGTTGGAGGAACAAAGGAAACCTCGGAGCACTGGACAGCTGTTTCATCCTAGTATGGGACTCCTCAGCAGTGCGCACTCACGACCCCTCCAGGAATCGAACCCGCGACCATTGAGCCACTGGGTCAGAATCCAATGGTCCATATTTTTAACTTCTGTTAGCTCACAATATTTTCAAATCCCCACAACTTCCGCAAAACTCAATTGAACTAGCTTCGAGAGGTATTCCCGAAGTTCCAGTGAGAAGTAGTGACCGGTGGAGGCAAAGCCTGATGGTCGTGAGGACAGTTACTCAACGATGACATTGGGTGGCGGTTGGGCTATATTGTGAGCTAACAGAAGTTGGAAATATGGAGCATTGCATTCTGACCCACTGGCTCAATGGTAACGTGCTGGCCACGGAACCTGAAGGTCGTGGGTTCGATCCCTGGAGGGGTCGTGAGTGCGCACTGCTGAGGAGTCCCATACTAGGACGAAACAGCTGTCCAGTGCTCCGAGGTTTCCTTTGTTCCTCCGACTGATGTCAGTCTACGATGATAAACAACTTGCAATATTTCCAAATCCCCATAACTCCCTCAAAACTTAATAAGTTAAAATAGTCGACCTGCCGGGGTCAATTAGGTTATCCAGGCACAAAAACAGGTCAAAATTGGTAGATCCTAGTAAGGTAGGGAATTTAGAATGAAGGTCAACCATAGCTACGCATGCGATTATACACAACCACACAATAAGATGGGACAGGATGGAAGGAGAGATTGATAAGTGAATCTTTGTTTACCGAATCAACATCTAATACATACAACAGGTATGATTCAGCAACTGTTCCAGATATATAGAAAATCTAAATACCCATATCATAAAGGGGCAAAAAAAAACTAGGACTATATAAAGGATATCTCAAAGTTGTATAGTTATCATGATATGACTATAGACAATAAATTACCACCGAAACGTAATCCAGTAAACACTACTGTTACACTGTGTGATAAATCTAATAAATCGATAACAATGGAATTAAAGTGTATCACAGTGCACAAGTTTTACGCTTATGTCATTCCTTTCTGTTAAGTTATACAGAAGTAAGGGCAAAACTACTGAAAGTGAATCATAAGAGATGACCAAGCATAATTACTAACATTTTTCAAGAACATAATGGTTACATCAATCTACAAAGTCTATAAGTTTTTATACTGGGTGATGATTGAAGGTGAAATGAAAATTTGGACCACGACTGGATTCGAACCAGCGGCCACTGGATTTCCGACCCGATGCTCTACTAACAAATGGAAATAGCCATCAAAAAATTAGAGTAATTCTGAATAATATTAGAGATCGACAACAGATTACGCATAATCTTCATGACTGATTATGGCACAGACTCTTTTCACTTATTCCGTTCCAGCAAACCACATAGACAAAGTCAACTTAGAACTACACACACACACACATACACACACACACACAAACACAAACACACAAAAGTGAGTCGGTTCAAGTTGCCATAGCTCATAGTGGTATGTAAGCAATAAGTGGATAGAAAAAGACTGATATCACAGTAGCCAAAGGTGTAAGAAAAGAGAAGAAATCTGAAAATTATAGTTAGTCAAAATATCCAATCTTTAAAAGACATCAAAAGTGAATACGTCCGCGTCATTCTGACCGATTTTTAGCCATTTCAGCAAGAGTCTTCAACCATTGATTCCCATCGCCTTGGGAACCCCAGCCAGGTTGTCTATACCGCTTTACACGGTTCCAACCAACACTCAAAGACCTCGTGCACCGATACCACATCTCAGTGTGACCAGTCTGAACCTTCTTCCAATCTAATTCAACTTCCCTTTGCATGACACGTCGAGGTAGGCGGTATCTCGGCATGCGTCGTCGGTGAAGGTTCAAAACCCCATTTTGCTTGGTGAATTCGAATGATCTAAACGCCAGATAGCCTTTTTCTTTTGTTTAAGCCTACATCGATATCAGCAGCAGCAGTAGTGTACTCGGACAAATTTAGCTCGACATACATCATGCAATTTGTGAAATTAACTGAAAATTGATTATCCCACTTAGTTGAAAACAAGTTGATAGTTAAGTAGAAAAACTTTAATAACAAAAACAACTGAAAACAATAGTGTTTTATTCTGGTTACCCTTTGCCTCTTCCTACTTCTATTCTAGCTGAGCATAACCCAACAAGTCACAGGTCCGCTATAGTGTGCCAGATAGTTAAAGCAGTTTTTTCTTTCCAACACGTCCAGATGGATTTTTCGCATATACTTCAGAAGGAACCATGTAACTGTTGAAAAGTGAACCCCATTTTAACACAATTTCAACAGAAGACAGTAAGCCTTATTTACATCTGAATATACTGCGTTGCCGTGTAGTTTGGGTCAGTATTCTAACCCCTAAAGTACCGCAAAATAATATTCAAAGGAACAATAGGTATCCATCTCGATTGTAAGCAAAATAACAAATGTCAGATGTTTACAGGCAATCAGTAGGAAACCCCGAGTTTCTGTTTCATGCTTATTGACACTTAAAACTATCAACACCAATCAAAGTGCATCACAACACTGAGTTCCCTGGTCTGATGACATCAAAAAACGGTCGATAGAATTGGGACAGCACTCAGTCCAAGACAACATGAAATCTGTCACTCTCCAGTGACCAATCTATGTAAATCAAAGAAGTTATGAAGAAACCAATTGGCTTTCTCAGAACAGTGAAACTTTATGGGCCATAAATGTAGCTACAAACAGTCATAAGTATATCATACAGGTGATAACGGTGGAAACACTTTTGAAAATAGGGACCAACCATTTTCTAGAACAAATGTAAAAAAAGTAACTGATTAGTCACACCTAAGCAGTGAGCCAAACCAAAAGTTTGAGATCTATCATACCAAATGGTTGGCAAAATTTTCAGTTTTGGAGATGTAGCTCATCGGTTTAAGTAGATGACTTTCAACCAACGGATCACGGGTTCGAACATCACTCCACCTAGTGAGATTTGGGAAGCCAGGCAGTATCGTTAGGCATCACAGAAAAGGTGTGATTCACTGCCTACTGCATGAATGTGAACAAATTTGTGGAGTACATGTTGATTTTCGGTTCCTGGAAATTAAAAGTTAAAACGGGCCTCGAACTCGTAGCTCACAGGTAAAAGTCAAGTGTTTAATCATTTGGGCAACATTTTGACAAAAGTAATCCTAGTGAATAACGATTTTGCGTTCGAAGAGGTGGGTACCAGGTTTGAGTCCCAGTGGGGACAATATCGCTCGCTGGGGTGCAAGTACGTCCAGCTGATGAGTCCCCAATAGGACGAAGGGCGTATCCTGAATTCCACTGCTAGTCACTAGGATGGAAAAAACCAATCCCATTTTAATCGGCTAGATTTCGATCATCGAGGTCGATTACTTAGGTTCTCGATTTCAAGTTCAGTCTCTGAATTTGAAATCAAGGTAGCTGTTATATAGTTAAATATTTCAATACAATAAATAATAATTACCTGCAGTTGAAAGTCCTGGACTGCTTGTAAACTTCACCACATCGACTATTTTCACTGCATATTCAATACCAGTATCCTTGTGAGTACAACGTCGTATAACACTGAAAGGTCCCCTGCAAAAAATGAAATAAAACAACACACAATAAAAATTGTTTACTGGTATTATTTAAACAGTGTGGGGATTTACTGATTTCAGAGTAGTACTCATCATGGACTTTTATCAGTTGAAGAAACATTGAAATCCTGAGAGTACGGGACAGTTGTTTTGTCCCAGTATCGGACTTCTAAACACTGAATACCCCGAAAACTGTCAGAGATTGAAACCAGGACCTTGATGAATCCTACCTTGAAATCAGTCGAATCTCCACACACCTCTAAAGTGGTTTACTGTCCAGTTTTCATTAGTGACATGCTTTGAGATGAGATTTCTAGAAGTTCTACTGAGAAACCGTAACCAATTTGGAAGTTAAGCGTATTCCTACCAATGGCATTCGATGATAGTTGCTCTATATCGTGAATTGACGGAGGTGAGAATGTGTGAACAACTAGACTTCAACTCTGCAGATCAGTGGCAACATACCCACTCCGAAATCTAAAGGTCCTGGATCCGATCCCTGGCGAAGTCAAGGGTGTGCATTGTTAAAGAGTCCCATGCAAAGGCGAAATACCTGTCCACTGCCCCACATTTTCGATGGATCTCCAAAGGATATCAGTCCTTGAGTGTTTCAACCATTGCTATCGTTATTATTACACGGAATGAAAAAGCCTTAAACCTAAATTCATTCTTTATTTTCTTCTATACTCACCAATAAAAAACTCACTGAATGGCTGACGACTTTATAAAGATAACGTAGAACATACCTTTGAGGTGAAGAGATAGCTGAAAAAGTTTAAGAAAATAATGTTCTACAGTTCATTATGATCTTGGATCAAGCAGAGCAAGGTCTGACTTTAAACCCTGGAACAATGTTCACGTAACAGTCTGGTTGTTGTAATCAGTAAATTAGCATAAACTTTAGATTTGAGGCGATTTGTAACCAAATAAACTATTTTGCGTATTAACTATGAACAACAAAGAACCTGCAGGCGACCATATCTGGACATAATTTTATTGCTAATGGCTATACGATTCAAAATATGATTTTATTTTACCATAAATTACGTCCAGTGTATGTGGTTGACACTAATCACATGAAGCAATACTTTATCTTTGCACTTCGATCAGTATTCATCACACTCATGAAGTAAAAACAAATAATCAAGAGAAGATGATGTTCAGTTGTGATAAGCATTGAGGCTTGATGATTAGTTGTTGGAGTCCTCTTGGGTCGTTCGGAAGGAATTCTTATTTATTTAACTTCACGTTGTGTCATGGTCTTATCCGCCTCAGCGGTGATCACATCTATCATCCAACTCCTTATTCCCATCTATCTGTCTGATGAAATGAAGGACCTACCAACTTTGATCAACCTCTAGTGCTTTTAATTATCGTCAGCATTCAGATTAGCCACGATATATTATCATTGAGCAGATACGTTGTGTTTTTTATGTTGCGTCGTTTGTGTATTAAAAGCATTCGAATCCTTCATCTGACGAATTCTAATCCTGAGATATATTAGATTCGTCGATCGTGACATGACATTGTGAACCAGTAATGAGATATCTGGGTTTCAGTTGCTGAAGAACACATGATATGCTACCAGTCCTCGTGAAAATGTTCACTATCACCTCCCGTTGTTGTTTTCAAGCATATCACAAATTGATACTGCGTGATGACCGAAGGTGAGATGTAAATCTGGACTGCGACCAGATTCCAACCAGCGACCACCGGATGGTCCACCGCGGTCCAGATTTTCATCTCACTTTCAATCATCATCCAGTATCAATACTAGTCTGTCAAACTACGGCTATCTCAGATAGACAAATGATATCACAAATTATTTTCATTTGCATTGATTTTCTTAAATTTCAATTTCTGATCGAATAAAACGGTATCTAATAAAGAAATAAAATATTAGCAAATGATTGTTTAATGTCGTATATCCATTCTTCTCAGCTTAAAGCTTTGATTACGATGGTAATGCTTCAGTAAGAAGGAAAAATTACAACTTTTAATGATCCACAAACAATGAATATTGACACTGGCTATACTGAGAGTTGCTATCGAACACGACAGCTGAGCAAAGGAAAGCACAGACGTGAAAATTCATTCATCCTTGGATGCATAGTCGATTACAACCACACAACATCCGAATTGTCATTTAGTGTTAATTACAAGTTAAAATCATCATCAAAATCAATATAGGACTAGGCATTACTATGTAACGGTCCAGGTTGCCACACCTCATATCACCACATCAAGTAAAAAGGCAATAAAATGGAAGATAAAGAAAGAAGTAAAAAGTGATAAAGGAGAGGAAGGAGGGATGAGAAAATGATGAGATTAGTTATAGCGGTTAATGTAAGGATAATGTGTGTATACATCTGCACCCTAGGTTCTATGGCTGACCAAAACTACACATCTGCACCACTGGCATCGTTTCTAAGCCACATCACCTACAGCCTCCAACCACTGGTTTCTCTTGCCCCCCCCCCCCGATCCTAATCCGCTGGTCTAGATCACCCTACATGGCTAAAAACCAACAGTCAAGGACTTCACGCATTGATGTCATGTTTTACTCTGCCAACCTCGAGCCTTTCTCCAGTCTGAACCTAATGCACTCAACTTTGTGAGATGATACAGATGGCGACTAGGCATACGTAACACATGTCCCAGCCAACCATCTCAATTGACGAAGGTTCACAACCACATCAAATGACTTACCTCTCCTCCCTCAAACTCCACGTTCGACTTTCGTGTTACTCGTGTGATGGCACCACGAAACACGGTCTATACTAAGGAGTCAAGGGTGGTCAAACACACCTGAAGCCGTTCTCATGTCTTCTACCTTTAATCGCCATGTTACACAGCCATGCAGTAGAAGAGAGTGAGTTGCAGCACAGTACACTCCCCCCTAATAGACATTCGGATATTGTGGCAGCACCAAAGATGGTGTAGGTTGGCAATGGTGAACTGTGTCTTTTGTGTCTGTGCAGGGATTTCGTCGGCCACTAACCAATGCACCAAGGGTGATCCGACTTCTCAGGTAAGTGAAGTGTTCAACGCACTCAACCTATTTGCTATCTACTGTTAACCGATGCACCGTTGAAGGCCAGTCGTGGATCAGCAATTTGCAATAAACTGGTGAGAAACGCATCTGAAACATTCTCAAATCGCTACTCAAGTTTTAAAGTAACTGGTCCCTTTGATAAGTTTAAACAGCTATATTATAAGACGAGGATTATCTGAAACATGTGCTGTATTGGCGCTATACGTTTCAAACAATCTGATCACACATGGACTTGCCGAACTATTTATGTGAAAATTTACGAAAAGTGTCAATGAAGTTAATAGGAAGCTTTCTATGTGTAGCGCTAATACATCACATGCTTCAGATAATCTTCGTTTTATCATTTCGTTACTCAAGGTGTCCATAAGATTCTGCATCTTGTCAGTGTCTTCGTCTAATAGGACTATGTCATCTGTGTATTCTATTCCGACCGAAAATTTTCTTGTGATTAGATCAATCTCTGTGCAGCCAGATGAGCAGGAAAACTCCAAAATAACGTTTATGACAAAATCGAATAAGAGTGGAGACAGTGGGCATCTTTGACGGACACCACTGGACGTACACAGCTCACCCAACATCTCACCATAGACTCTAACACGCCCTCAGGTGTTCGAGTAAAGAGCCTTTAAAAAAGTGATGTACTTACTCAGGTAACTCAGTGAGAGAGATATTGGCATAAAATTTCTCGGTCAACGGAATGGAATGCCTGTTGGACTGTTGCCTGAAGTGTCCTGCCTATCATTCCAGTCGTCTATCCTGAGGATGAATCGTAGACCAAACCTTCTCCAGTATAGTCCCACTAACTGTTGATCTTTTCGTCACAAGTAAAACCGAATCTGTCTAGATGCACATGCGCATTGCAGCCACTTTGTACTCCAAAATCCTTGACGATACACAAAGTAGAACCATTTGCGCAAAAACAGTTTGTACGTTGACTTCTTTTATTACCCTGAAACCGGCTCATCACACTGGCTAAATGTTTAAAAGTCCTAATGCTCTACTGAAGGGGCTGTGACTTACATAACGAAACATTCAGAAATATCTCGTCTTTTTTTTTAAAAAATAAACTAGTTCTTATTTATTTCACTCTACTTGATCCCATTTTATTTTGTCACAGTATACAATTTTCATTTTTGAATAACAAAGTCCATCCATGTTTTTCTCGATACAATACTATTTGATAATAGTCAAGGCTGACTGATTGACTGCTTGAATGAACGTAGAATCTCTCACGCAGATGCATCAGCTCGAGTTGCCACACTTCACAGAAGTACACAACTAACAGGTGAATAGAAAAACACTGATATCAAAGTAAAGTGTGGGAGAATAAACAATTCGAAGATAAAAGTTAGTGCAAATATCCAAGCTTTAATTATCAAAGAGTAAACTCATCTGCACCATTGTCACCGGTTTTCAGCCATTTTAACAAAAGTCCTCAACCACTGACTCCTATCTTCTTGGGGACCTCAGTCAGGCAGACTCCCCCCCCCCCACGTGACTCAGACCAGTAGTAAGAGACTTCGACTGGTGCCATGTCTTCTTCTAGTCAACCTGAACCCTCTTCCAACCTAACCCAACTTCACCTATCACGGCATGTCGAGGTAGGCAGTGACTCGGCACGCACAGTTCATATCCAAGCCATCTCAGTCCACTGAGGTTCACAACCTCATCAATCGACTTGCCTTTCTTTTCTAACACTCTTCGTCTGGTCGCAACATTTGTCATGTGGTGATTCCACCAAACGCGAGCAATGCAATAAAGACATTTGTGATCAAAACCCTGTAATCGCTTCGTGTCTTTAACGGCCATATCAGAGTCGAATAACACGTGTCACTTATTAAGTAGACGAGTAAAACTCATCTGTGTTCCTAGGTCTTAGGTTTCTTATGACATTAAAACTTCTAGAAATTAATGACACTTTACCTATATATATCAAAGAACATTTTGTTGGTATAAGGACCAACTGCAAACTCTACTACTGGAAGTTCGCACAAAAAGAAATACTGAAAGGCACATCCTTAAGTTTTCTGCTGATCCTCTTGTTTACCGAACATAACAAAACCTACGATGACTCTTTATGCCAGTGACGTAACCATCCAGTAAGAATTAAAGGACGTAAGTATGTTATCGTTTACACAGAAAATACAAATGGTAGCACTTAAGAAACTGAAAGAATTCCATTACCCTCAGTAATAACCAACAGTGGCCAAGGGGTAATAGTGAGATACAACTTGGGGATCATAGTGCACTGTCGATCGACCACAGTTTTGAGTTCCAAGACACAGTGGAGAATACAAAGAGCTTTCACTAAGATGTCCACCACTTTGTTTACAAACTTGTTTACATCTAAGCTCGAGAAGTGTATAGGTAGGCTTTCAAATCTTCAGAGAAGAGTCTGGGGTGCAACTATCCGTGTGATCCAAACAACAAGAAAACCTATGAGGAATGACTTAAGAAGTTGAACCTCTTCTCTTGTTCATGTCAAATGCAGAGGGGAGACAGTCCGGTCGTACAGAATCTCCTCCCCACTAGATGGGGATGATATAAATCAAAGAAGAACTTTATGACCGTGAAGTATTGGTTTTCGCGTCAACTAACCAACTCACAGAAGAAGTGGTGTTCATATAACCAAATGAATCATTCAGGAGAGAACTAGATGAATTAAACAATCACAATGTGACACGAATAATCAACAGACTTACTTAGTGACCAATGAAAAGAAGTGTGCACTTTCTGTGTCATGCTAAGTAGACAGTGATAGGGAGATACAGCAGTTTTCAACTTATCAGGCTGTTTCCCTAGAGCTTTCACCTTTTCTTCACGTTTACGCGTTAGCAAAACTTGGCCACTCTATGCACGCATTACATTTTTCCTGTTTCTCTCTTAATTTTCCTCCATATCTCGCTTCCCCTCTAAGGATTTTTTCTAATTCCCTTGCTCCTTAATATTTCTTTTTCATTTCTTTATGTCTTTTTATCAACGCCAGTTATCACGTGCGCTTACGAATTACATTTTCTTTGTCGCCTCCATTCATTCAGATTTTCCTCGTTTTCCATCCTAGCTAACAAATAGTCCATGTTGCTATCACCTTCGTAAAAATTAAAATCTTAAATTGCGTGGAATTACTAACAAGGCATGTAGAAACACAGGTACTTGTTTAGTATGTTTCATATACTCAATTGTCTTTATAAAGGTAAGGGACACAATTATAGAAAAGCAAAATTTCCTTTCAAGCACAGTTTTTCCTCCTTCAGCGTTGGCGTAAGAAGCAGTCACTGAATGCTTTTTTGAGGCCATTTTCTCTCAGAAGTAATTTTTGAAACAATTTGAGGTTAACAGCAACATTTAGATGGTCAGTAGCAGATTTAAATGTAATACTGATAAGATTGTGAAAGCCTTCCAATCTTGGCGTATTCTAGCCAAACAATAGTCGCAAACTTTCTCAGTAGCGGTGTGAAATGTGCTGTCTTGTCGCCTTACTATGAAGACTATTCGAAAATATTCCTGCCTAACTCTTATAAATAAATGAGAAAAATGATGAAAATGATTATGAATATTATACTTAAAACGATCATCATGCAAGATTCAGACAAAATATTCAAATTGTTTTTGTTAGAAATGTCATCGAGGAAAAGTATGATGATTATTCTTGCGACTTTGTTGGTCCGAAGATTCTGAATCTGACAGAAATTGGACGGCGTTTATGTATCCGAATATGAGCTTGATTAACACATTTATATCAACTACCGCAAGGTACCTTTATTGAGATTAAGTCCTGTCACAAGACACCACGGGGACGCCGACCATTACTTTTATCGTCAATAATTCTGGATGCAGGTGTTTAAGTGTCAGTTCTTGAACTGGTCTGCCAACTACTTTTGCAGGTCTTTATCAACAAATGACATCAAAATATGTATGAAGCGAATGGTAAGTAATTGACTTTACTTAGGTAAACGAGAATGGCACACACTACTCACAGAAGGTTTTGCATTCACCAAGGCTATGCACAAGAGGGTAAGTGAATCTCATCGTGTGCTGCTAGAAGATAACCACTTTGATTTCCGATTGGAGACGAAACAATAACTGAATGTTCTTCAAACATGCAGAGATTTGTTCTTTTTTCTATCATCTGATGTTTTCTGGGCTATCTAACTCAAAAGAAAAACAACTGAGGACATAGGATCGCTGCTTAATGGTCCAGGTTTCTACACGTCATATCAGTATATCAAAAGAGAAGGCACTAAGATCAGATAGAGAAGACAGGAAGTGCTATCTTTTTGGCACACTGTTCTAACAGTCATTATAACATTCAACTTTACTGTTCCTTTTCACAAAGAAAGAAAGCAGTGAACAAGATTACTAGGGCGCTTTCCCATAACCTAGGAGACAGGTTAGCCGAACACTGGTCCAGTCCCTATATTCATCCCCACACTTCACAGATTTAGCCTGCAAAGTGCACTGATATATTCGACATTTACTGAGAAATTCCTCATGTTATTTGTAGATTGTTTAAAAAACAGGGCGTAAGATCACAATTTAAGTGTGGGTTCTGTGATGAATATATGCTGCAATCATCTCATCTCGATATTAAGCTTAAACTGTTTCGCCAATAGAAGATAATAAATTCAAAGAAAACATTCAGTGGCTTTTTCTTACCCCAGCACTGAATGAAGCACAACTGTACTTGAGAGGAAACTTTGTTCTTCTGTAAGCGAGTACCTCACCTCAATAGAGATACCTGAACAAATGAACTTCGCTAAGCAAATTAGTGAAAATCGATACGTTTTGACATGATTTTCGTTTCATATTGCAACTCAACAGTTTCGCCTATTTCTGTTGACTATCGCAGTTTATATAATCACTTGCAGACAGAGAATAAATAATGGTATACAATACACAGGATAAATCGTCAAACGAATAGAAGAATATGAATCTATAGACCTACTTTCCTATAATTTCATGTAGTTCATAAACATCGTCAAAAAGTGCGTCACTCTCACTCATCCCGAAAGAATTTGAAAACGTGCATTCACAAGGTTGATTTATGAAGGTTTTCGTGGTGTAGTAAAACGAATAAATATTCGAAACTACTTTGGCCACTAAGTCTAATCAATACCTTCAATATTTGCAAAAGCTGACACTTCCTAAGTAATATGAACACCCATTATCTAATATCTGCTTAAGGAATTTGTGCTAATCACGCTCAAACTTCAAACTTAGTGTTGTAGAATTAGTGAACTGCGGTTCCTTGGGTTCTGCGTCTGTCTTATTGGAATATGTTTTGGGTTTAGAATGGTCACATATATTTTCCCGGTTCTGAAAAACTTGAAAGGATAGAGATACCAGGTGTGTTTTAACTGTTGCAGGTTCTTCATGGGTTATAAGATTCATTCAATCAACTTCTGCAGCTCTGTTAAGCCTAACGAGTCATCACGTTATTGCTAAATGTGATTTGTCCTGGAAGCGTGTGGCATACGGGTTCTACAAACGTTGCGTTGCCACATAGTTGTTCAAATGGTAGTAAAAGGAAGATCAACTGAATGCGATGATAACTAGGGATACAGGAGGAAAGGATACTGTAGCATCACACACTTCCCCAAAATCATTAGCCTAGGGTTCGATGACATTCAACATTGATGCTGACCTTGATAGTTTAACCAGACTCACTAAGCTGAAGGCACCCGGTCAAGCATCCTCGTCATTTGGCACGCTGTCGTGTTAAGTTGCACTGCTTGTACTCGACTCTCTAACCAGTTAGTTGGAACGCATCAGTATTTTTGCACAACCACCCAAATATACTATTCCATCCAACTACGCTATTGTCTTCTTCCTTGGTCTCGTATTCGTGGGCATATAACAAGTCCGAATAATTAGTGATTGGTCTTTGTGTCTGTCAAGTTCGCACCGAGACAAATCCTAAATTGGTGAGCCCGACGTGATCACATATCCCGATCAACAACAAATGTTGAATTGGTGAACCTGTTCCATTTTATATTTGTATATTGTTTTTATTTCGATAACATTCATATGTCCATTTACTACACTTTCTCATGCCCGACCACACTCCCAAGCTTATTAGTATTAAGCCGACCACGAACACGATCCAACTCATGCCACATTGGCCAGACAATACAGAAACATGGTTTCTGTATGCCAAGGCAGATTTTCGAGAACAGGGAGTAGCAGATCCCCATTCTCGATTTCTTGTCGTCATACATTCGCTACTGTGGGAATTAAACAGGCATGTTACAGCACACATGTCTAGTCCTGAAGCAAGTGATCCTAATGCACTTCTCAGCACCGCGCTCTTGAAGAAATGTGATCTGACAGATCGCCAGTGCCTTGACGAACTGCTTCGTAACATCGAGCTGGGTAGCCACTCAGCTACTAAAGTTCTTGCACGCATGTGTGAAGCAATCGGCGTGCGAACATTCGACAATGGCCTTCTCCGAGAACTATTTCCCCCAAAACTACCACAACCGGTGCAAACCGTGTTGGTGACACTGCAGTCAGTCCCACTCGATGAGCTGGAAGCCTCGGCAGATAAAATACCGGGGATTTCTAGCAGACCCGTCTCCAACGTATATTCTGTCTGTGACAAACCAAAGGGCCAGGATTCAGAGGTGACCAAGCTGTGCAACTCTGTTAAACAGTTGCTACGATCTGGAATTCCTAGTTCTCGCAGCACTACACAGAAACGCGCCTTAGTGCATCGCGGCAACTCTCGTGGTTGCCCCAAAACTAAACCTAACAGGGTGGGAAACCCTGAATGGTGCTGGTTTCATAATACTTACAGAGACGAAGCCAGAAAATGTCGGAAACCATGCAGTTATAACAAGGACACGAACTAGGGCAACAGTCGCGCCCGCACGTGTTCACGGCAACCATAGCCCGCGGAAACGGCCGTTTGCTCTACGCCGCCGACATAGAAACGAAAGTCCGCTACCTCGTCGACACTGGCGCAGAAGTTAACGTTCTTCCCGCACCGACAGAGGAGCGTCATCATGACCCATCCTTCAATCTCCGGGTGGCCAACGGCAAGGCAATCACGACGTTTGGGAGACAGTATGCCTACCTCAACTCAGGTTTAAGTAAACCTATCCACTGGATTTTCCTCCTGGCCGACGTTTCTATGCCCATCATTGGCGTAGATTTGCTAAACCATTACGATCTACTCGTAGATGCTTGCCGTCGACGTCTGATTGATGGCAACACAAAGTTATCTATTGGCGGCACCACCTATGTAGGTCCGAGTTTAGCCATCGTTAGAACCAAACAATCAGGCGACGCGTCCTACCAGGCAGTTTGGAGAAATATCCAGAGGTGCAACAACCGAAGCACACTCTTCCGTGCATAACCAGCAATGTTATGCATCATGTCACAACCATAGGTCCACCTTTGGCATCCAAAGTGCGCCCTCTAGCCCCCGATAAGCCGAAAACAGCGAAAAGCGAATTCGACCACATGCTAGAACTGGGCATAATCAAACCGTCAAACAGTCCTTAGGCATCGCCATTGCACATGGTTCCGAAGAAGGATAGCAACGACTGGCGTCCAACCTGTGACTACCGAAGGCTTAACGCCAAAACAACTCCGGACTGCTACCAGATGCCTCAGGTTTACGATTTGACTGCAACCTTATGCGGAATGAACATTTTCTCCAAAACCGATTTGGTCAAAGCGTATAACCAGATACCTAAGGCAGCAGAAGATATCGCGAAAACAGCCATTAATGCTCCTTTTGGTTTGTTTGAATTCCTGAGCATGTCATTTGGTCTTCGGAATGCAGCACAAACATTCCAACGCTTTATGGATGATGTCTTCCGTGGTTTGAATTTTGTTCATGTCTACACAACGATGACTGTCTAATTGCCAGTCCAGATAAGGAAACTCACCCTAAACATTTGGACCTCGTATTCGAAAGACTGAAAGAACATGTCATCACAGTCAACTTATAGAAGTGTGAAATAGGAGTTGAATCACTCAGCTTCCTTGGGCATACCATTGACAACAAAGGTATACGCCCATTGAGAGATAAAGTGGCGGCTATCACAAACTATCCGGAGCCGACCACTGTAAAACATCTCCGCACTTTCAATGGTCTGGTAAGTTATTACCGAAGGTTTATTCCCAACTGTGCCCCTGTCATGAGACCACTAACAGATCTACTTCGAGGAACTACGAAGTTCGTGACTCTGGACAACGTGGCTAGACTTGCCTTCTCTAAAGTCAAGGAAGCCATTTCGAACGCAACCATGCTCATGCATCATGACCCCAATGCTCCCTTGAGTATTGCTGTTGATGCATCTGATTCAGCAATTGGAGCAGTTTTGCAACAATTGACTGACAACCAGTGGCAACCGTTAGCCTTTTTCTCGAGGTGGCTGCAAGAGGTGGAAACAAGATACAGTACACTTGGCAGGGAACTCCTAGCTATGTACTGTTCTGCAAGCCACTTTCGAAATTCGATGGAAGATCATGATTTCATTATTTTCACAGACCACAAACCGTTAACCTTTTCCCTCAGCTCGGTGTCCGATAGATACTCCTTTCATGAGTCGCGACAGCTTGACTACATTTCCCAGTTCACGTCAGACATCCGCCACATTTCTGGAGCAAATAACTCCGTGGCCGACGCACTATCACGAATAGCTTCGATAAGCCATATCGAGGGTATTGATCTCGTTGGACCAGTTCGGCGTTAGAGGGAAGACCTTGAGCTACATCATGAGTTGTCGTCCACAACTCTGAAGCTGCGACTGTGTCCGGTTGGATCAGACAAGGATACAAGTTTGTGAGACGTCTCTGCCAGTCAACCACGCCCAGTGGTTCCGAGGAGTTGTCGAAGCAACGTCTTCAATACGTTGCACAAACTCTCTCATCCAGGCTTATCATACAATGTTTCTGCTGGCCCGGGATGAAGAGGGACGTTAGGGAGTGGGCTCAATCGTGCCTAGCCTGTCAAAAATGTAAAGTCACGCGACTCACAAAAGCCCTTCAGGCTCTTTTCTAGCCCCAGACATGCTTTCAACCACGTGCATATAGGTATTGTAGGACCCCTACCAGAATCTAATGGATGTACCTACCTTTTCACTTGTGTTGATCGTTTCACACAATGGCCGGAAGCAGTACCCATTGAGGATATTACCGCCGAAACAGTAGCTCGTGTTTTCGTCGAAACATGGATCGTGAACTTCGGATGTCCATCTTACGTCACAACCGACCGTGGGCGCCAATTCCAGTGTGGATTATTTCACGCTCTAACTGCACTTTTAGGTTTCACTCGGTCCCGAACGACAGCCTACCTTCCACAGGCAAATGGCATGGTAGAGCGTTTCCATCAACAGCTGAAAGCTTCCCTTTCAGCTGCAAACATACCTTAGTGAATCGAGGCTCTGCCCCTGGTCCTACTAGGTATTCGCAACGCGTCGATAGTTGATGCTGGATGTACCCCTGCAGAACTCATCTATGGGACCACTCTTCGCTTACCGGGTTAGTTTGTTTCCCCTTCAACCTTCAAACATGTTTCCGACAAGGCATCTTACGTGACTAGGCTTACAAACGCAATGCGTTCAGTTGGGCCTTCTCCGGTTAGACCTCAAACGACTGATGTCTTCGTTCACCCAAGTTTACAAAAGGCATCACACTTGTTTATTCGCCACGACTCTGTTCGTCGACCACTTGAACCACTCTACGACGGGTCATTCAAAGTGATCAAGCGACATGAGAAATTCTATATAATTGAGCGAGACGGACGTGAAGATACTGCCAGTAATGACCGTTTGAAACCAGCTTATTTCGAAGGCAACCACATTGTAAGTGACGCTTCAGCTCGCTACATCCGACCGACGGATAGCTCAATTATCGAAATTCTTGACGATGTGCCTGGTAATGCACAGTTATTACAACCATCGGCGCAACAGCAAACACGGGCAGGTCGAACCGTTAGGCCCTCGGAGTATTTAAAGTCGTATTCAACTTAGCGGTACGTTTGAAATTGTGTTATATTTTAACGTAATTTCGTAACTGTATCA